CACACACACACACACACACACACTGGAATACTACTCAGCCATAGAAAAGAATAAAATAATGCCATTTGCAGCAACATGGGTGGGCCTAGAGATCATCATTCTAAGTGAAGTAAGCCAGAAAGAGGAAGAAAAATATCATATATCACTTATATCTGGAATCTAAAAAAAAAAAGACACAAATGAACTTACTTACAAAACAGACAGATTCACAGACATAGAAAACAAACAGTTACCAGGGAAGAGTGGGTGGGAAAGGATAAACTGGGTGTTCGACATTTGCAGATACTAACTACTCTATATAAAACAGATAAACAACAGGTTTCTACTGTATAGCACAGGGAACTATATTAAATATCTTGTAACCTATAATGAAAAGGAATATATGTATGTATATGAATGAGTGAAACATGCTTTTAGCAGAAATTGATGCAACATTGTAAATGACTATACTTCAGTAAAAAAAAGTGTGCTAGAAGTCTTCCCCAATTTTACATGAATCCAAGAAAGTAAGAGTTTAAAAACTTTGAATTTCAGCCTTGAATCACTGAGATTGTGTAATACCTGGATAGAGTTGCGGATATTAAGGCAGGAAACCAGTTTTTTTTTACCTTCACAGAAAAACTTTAATAAGAAAAGTGACCAAGAGTTTTTTTTTGGTTACACACTATATAATTAATAGAAAATTTAGCAGACATGCAAAAATTGGTAAGTATTGCTTTCAAATTTTCTAGTTTTTTGGTCTCCATGATTTAATTCATCACATGACTTCCAGTTTTTGATTTGGGGTTGTACAGTGATGGTCTAAAATGATTAGGTAAAACTCTGTCCCTTATGAGCTGTAAGACCTTCAGCAAATAACCTTAATTTTCTAATACTCTATTTCCTAATTTCTCTAACAAGAAAATAATTATAACAATGTCTGTCTTACAAGCTTGTTTTGAGGCTTAATAAAAAAAATGCACGTGAGGTGGTTAGCACATACCTGGCATGTCACACTAGTTGATAAAGATTGGTTTAATGATAAAGATTGGTTTAAAAGGGAAAGAGTCAGATGTTTTCTTGATTAAAGATTTGATTAAATATGACATATTCTCATATTAACCTGGAGAATATGGTGGTGTTTTACAGTCTCTGCTGCAGCAGGCACTCTGCACACCACTGTTTCCTAAACATGACCATTATGTATAAGCTTGTCCTTCTCCTTTGGCCTTTTGATTATTTAACCTTACACTGTGGACAGAGATCAGGTCCCAGAGTGGTTCACTCATCCTGTCTATAACAAGTGAAGGCAGATCTGGACTTGCTCAATTATTAGATAGGAGAAACATATGAAGCTCTACAACAATATTTTAAAACAAGAGAAAGCAGTATCAAAAGGAATAAGAGGATGGACATATCTCTGAAAACCACCTACTTCAGGATCCAGAATAAGATTTCAGAAAATTGCTATCATCTATGGAGTACAAGAAAACATGACACTATGAAGCGACCACAAGTTTTGATGGAGAAGGAAATTTTGAAAATGAAAAGAAGAAAACTGAAAAAAACAAAAACCAAAAAGCATTTAGACTCTCATACACTACTGGAGGGAGAGGAGAGCAAACAGCCAGCCACTTTAACTTTATAAGAAATGTCCAACAGTTCTTAAATATACATCTACATATGACTCAGTAATTAAATTTTGGAGAAATTAACACATTTGTAAAGAGTTGTACAAGAATATAAGAGCTTTATCTGTAATAGCTCCAGACTAGAAATAATTCAAACACCTGCCAACAGGAGGATGGATAAGCAAATTGTGGCATATTTATACAATGAAATGCTAGCCAGCATTTTTTAAAAAAGAATCAATCACTTATATGGGTAAACCTAAAAAATATTCTGAAAAAAACCCAGGCACAAAAGAGCACACAAACTGTATGATTTCCGTATGTATGAAATCCAGGGACCAGCAAAGCTAATCTATATTGATAGATATGAGAAAGTAGTTGCCACGGCTTGAGGGTGGGGGTAAGGAGGTGGGAATTGACGGGAAATGGCCATAGGGACCTTGCTGGAATGATGGAAATGATTAATATCTTGGTTTTTTTGAAAGGTTGTTAAATGGCTATATACAATTTTTAACATTCACCAAATTGAACACAAGTTCTGTAAATTTTGTGTTATCTTAATTATACTTCATGTTTGTTAAAAAAACAACAAACAAACCATGCAGGAAACTATGAGAAGTAGAATTATTGTTGTGGAAAATTAAATCAGTGGTGTGGAGGACAAAGCTGACCAAGGAGGTGTTTGAGAATGACCCACAGGGAGGGCAGGCCGCACAGCGCCAACAACACATGGGATTCTTCTGCCCGCGGATCCAGAACCAATGGAACTGATGGAATAATCAGAGCTTTGAAGGGTAAATCCCTGTGTTCTAGGATAAACCATACCTGAACCGATTGTGGTAAAACATTTGAATTATAAAGAAAACAGTTCTAAAACATGAAGTGGGGGAGAAACAATTAAAAACCAATTTGGTTGCAGGTGTTTTTGTTGGCATAAAAAATACCAAGAAGTTTTGAGACAAAGTGGTTGTTATTTAAGAATATTGTATCAGATTACATTCTCCCTCGTATGTGAAGGCAACAAAATTCTATATACAAAGGTTTGGCAAATATTCTCCCCGTGAACTCTTTGAAGAAATTACTTGAAAATCTATTATCAGTCAATGAATGAAGACAAAATGAAAGGTCATGGTATGGGGAAGTAATGGTACAACAGGATGTCAGGGAAGGTAAAAATAAGTAATAAAATTGGAAAGTAGTTAAAAGTCAAAATCAAAAATGTATTTCAAGAAAATGTGTACAATGCTAAAAGTAATACCTTTTTTAAAAAAGACTACCAGACTATGAACTCTAAACTGCTCTAAAAA